AATTCGAAACAAACCAAACCAAACACCTTACAGTGCAGTAATTAAAGCCTCATCTCCATATCAATCGCTAACATCTTTCCTAAGTAAGAAAAAACAAAACATTATTTCTTGGAACGTATTTTACGTACCGCTGCTTTAGTCATATTCTAGTTGGTACGTATTTTCCGTACCGCTGTTTTAATCATATTCTTATTGGAACGTATTTTCCGTACAACTGTTTTAATCATATTCTAGTTGGAACATTTTTCAACATTCTGCATTAGTCATGTTTTAGTTGGAACGAATTTTCCATGTCGTTGCTTTAATCATGTACTTCTTGGAACATATCTTCCATACCGCTGCTTTAGTCGTGTTCCACGTGAAACGTATTTTCGGTACCGCTGTTTTATTCATGGTTTATTTGGAACTTAATTTACATTCCACTGCTTTAGTCATGTTCTACTTGGAACGTATTTTCCGTACCGCTGTTTTAGTTGGCACGTATTTTCCATACCGTTACTTTAGTTGGAAAGTACTTTCCGTACCACTAATTTTAGTCGAATTTTAGTTGGAACGTATTTTCCATACCGGTGCTTTAGTTGGAAAGTATTTTCCATACCGATGTTTTAGTCATGTTCTACATGGAAAGTAAATAGGCAAGCACATAAAAATGTAGAAGACATACATTTTAAGATCGGTAAAGCTAAGTCCTGCATAGTAAAGGGTTGCATGGAATCTGCTTTCCATAACCTGGTTTGTGAACTGTTATACACCTCTAAATACATACAGAAAAACCGGCGCATTCACTTAGCACACATTTACATTATCAAAAATTATAACACAATTTCCATATTCAATTACTGACTTATATATTTGGCCCTAAAACTTTAAAATACACTGACTGGTCATTCTATTAGCGCTTCCATCTAATATCGGGTTGAACCACCTTTCTCAAAATAACAATGTGGGACTTAACGATATATGTTTTATAAGGTATTTGAAGGTGTAGTCCATTCTTCTGAGATTATCGTCAGAAACTATATTACACAACTATCTATGCTTGATAAGATGTTTGAAGGTGTAGTCCATTCTTCTGAGATTATGGTCAGAAACCATACTACACAGTAATCTATGCTTTATAAGATGTTAGAAGGTGTAGTCCATTCTTCCGAGATTATCGTCAGAAACCATACTACACAGCTATCTATGCTTTATAAGATGTTTAAAGGTGTAGTCCATTCTTCCGAGATTGTGGGCAGAAACTATATTACACAACTATCTATGCTTTATAAGATGTTAGAAGGTGTAGTCCATTCTTCCGAGATTATGGTCAGAAAGCATACTACACAACTATCTATGCTTTATAAGATGTTAGAAGGTGTAGTCCATTCTTCCGAGATTATGGTCAGAAACCATACTACACAACTATCTATGCTTTATAAGATGTTTGAAGGTGTAGTCCATTCTTCCGAGATTATGGTCAGAAACCATACTACACAGCTATCTATGCTTTAAAAGATGTTTGAAGGTGTAGTCCATTCTTCCGAGATTATGGTCAGAAACCATACTACACAGCTATCTATGTTTTATAAGATGTTTGAAGGTGTAGTCCATTCTTCCGAGATTATGGTCAGAAACCATACTACACAGCTATCTATGCTTGATAAGATGTTTGAAGGTGTAGTCCATTCTTCCGAGATTAT